GTTAACATTCCCATGATATACCAAGTACTTTCTAACAACCAAGTTAACATTCCCATGATATACCAAGTACTTTCTAAACAACCAAGTTAACATTCCCATGATATACCAATTGGTTGTTTAGAAAGTACAAAGTACTGGGTATATCATGGGAATGTTAACTTGGTTGTTTAGAAAGTACTTGGTATATCATGGGAATGTTAACTTGGTTGTTTAGAAAGTACTTGGTATATCATGGGAATGTTAACTTGGTTGTTCAGAAAGTACTTGGCATATCATGGGAATGTTAACTTCGTTGATAAGAAAGTACTTGGTATATCATGGGAATACTAACTTAAACAACCAAGTTAACATTCCCATGATATACCAAGTACTTTCTGAACAACCAAGTTAACATTCACATGATATACCAAGTACTTTCTAAACAACCAAGTTAACATTCACATGATATACCAAGTACTTTCTCAACAACCAAGTTAACATTCCCATGATATACCAAGTACTTTCTTATCAACCAAGTTAACATTCCCATGATATACCAAGTACTTTCTGAACAACCAAGTTAACATTCCCATGATATACCAAGTACTTTCTGAACAACCAAGTTAACATTCCCATGATATACCAAGTACTTTCTAAACAACCAAGTTAACATTCCCATGATATACCAAGTACTTTCTTATCAACCAAGTTAACATTCCCATGATATACCAAGTACTTTCTTATCAACCAAGTTAACATTCCCATGATATACCAAGTACTTTCTAAACAACCAAGTTAACAGTATTTCTGGTATGTTAAGTACCTTGTCTACAATAATATAATATTTCTGGTATGTTAACTACCTTGTCTACAGTAATATAATGTTTCTGGTATGTTAACCATCTTGCCTACAATAAAGTCAGTATTTCTGGTATGTTAACTACCTTGCCTACAATAATATAATATTTCTGGTATGTTAACTATCTTGCCTACAAGTATTTCTAGTGTGTTAACTATCTTGCCTACAATAAAGTCAGTATTTCTGGTATGTTAAGTACCTCGTCAATAACAAAGACACTATATGTATGATGCTCAAAATATTAAATGTTTCAATGACCTATAAAAGTAACTGCTACTATGGCAACTATCCTATGACAGGTGAAACTATGACAACTTAATAATAGTATAACTACTCAGCAATGTGACATTTTAAACTGTAACTATAGAACAAAGGCAATTTTCCCAATATATTTTAAGTCTAACTTGTTAAAATAAACAGGCAACAATGTTATGATTTTTGAAAATAGACTTAACAACAAAAGTACTATTTCCAAACTTACCTGTTATTCCACAAACATAGACAACATTATTATAAAATAAGCATTAACTGTATTGTATAGATTGACATTTATAAATTTATATAATGATCTGTTTGGTCAAGAAGTAAATATCACGAAGTGAACTTTAATGTTGTAAATTCATTAAGTTAGATTTGATAGGTGTGAGACAATCAGTGAACTATGAAAACATGGTGCTGAATAACTACTTTCAGCTTAAAGATTTGTGTTTGAAGTTAATCGTTCAAAAAGCATTAATTTATAAACGTACAGATGAATTAATTTATAAGTTTGGAACTATTCAAGTTTTGTTATAGTGGAGTTAATCAGTATGATGAGTTTGTGATGTTTATTAAATCAACATGCAGTTGAATTATCTAACATAGAAATAGTTTTATGGTATATATATTAGGATATTTTTTCTACCTTCACTTTGAGACCAACTCACTTGTAACTGGGATGGTAACTGCTGTTGCTAAAGAACAAACAAAACTAGGTTTCTTTTGAATTGTCTGTCACATTATGATTTTACATATTCACAGAAAATTCTCTAAAACTTCACTTTTCAGGGTCAATAACTATCATTTACTATAACCCGGTGGTGAAAATCTCCTTAAAGAAGCACAGGTGCTCACCTGGCTACCAGGACCTGGCCTCACAGTGTATGGAGTATCGGGTTTTCTGATAACGGTTACCTCTTCATGCACTATTCAAATTGAACTGTCAAGAAATACAAAAGATAACAGGACTTGGTAGAAAATACCAAAAAAAGAACTGGTACAGAGTTCCAGTGGGTACTGACAGGGTTTCACACCTGCTGTTACCAAGTGTACAGCTTATATTCTGCTTCTCAGAATCACAGTGCAGTCCCCTAAACAAGCCATCATGGTTGAATCACAGTGCAGTCCCCTAAATAAGTCATCATGGTTGAGTCACAGTGCAGTCCCCTAAATAAGTCATCATGGTTGAGTCACAGTGCAGTCCCCTAAACAAGCCATCATGGCTGAGAGGAATATGAAGAAAGTTATTTTATCATTTGTCATATTTAGAAACTAAAATTACTGTCAGCTGGAAATTTTAGATTTTTTTACACTCTGTTTTTAAAAATGTAATCTTTTCATGCATCATTCAAGGTTAAAAATAAATTTTTGGTTTCTAAATAATTATTTTTAAGTAAATGTTTTTGCCAATGCAGGAAGCAATTGTAATCTCAGTAGTAAAACTTAAATAATAAAAGTGCTATAAATTAATAGTAGTAACACTAACAGTATTAAATGTGGAAAATATGATGAAACTCAAACATTGAACTTCTGGAAACACACAATAAAACTGGTTAACCTATAATCAGAGGCTATTTTCATAGTTACTGATAGTAACGATAAATGACCTGATAACATTTTTACTTTATTTTTAAGATTAAAATCAAGCACATCAACCTAACAAGTAGACTAAGAATGGTTTTACTTTTAACCAAGGTGTCTAACAATTTTGATTTCTGTCAATTTTCCACTTCGAGTAGACGCAACAAATAATTTCATCTGACATTTATTATAATACACATAGAAGAATTAAAAAGTAGAGGTTTTGTATCAGTGTTAAAAGTAATGTGTTTGTTGTTCAAATGTTGAGTATTAGAAGTTGTCATTGTAAGATGAAAACCAATAAGTTCATGTTTCTGTTACTTTTGGACACTATATTACATTTACTCACCTGAATATATTTTACAATTTTTTAATTTTATTTTCCTACCCTAAATTGTAATTCATTTAAAAGTCAGCAAAAGTTGTAATAAATGTCCTGGGAACATGTTTGTGGTTTGGTACCTTAATCAAACATGCAAGTAGGAGTGCCATTCTGATAGTTAACAGGCTTTGGAAGAGGACACCAAAAGCAGTGTCCTTGTACTCCGAGGTTAAACTACAAGTGTGTCATCTTGTTCAAATTCTCAATTGTGGGTTATATGATTGCAAAATAATGTAGTGATCCAAAGGTGGCCAAGTTTGGTGAACAATGGAGTTTGTAAAAATGTTGCACATTATAGAACATCATGTGTGAACTATCCAGTTGCAACAAACCACCACACAATTAAAACGAAGTTTTCTTGCAACATTCTCTCGATCCCAGCATGCTAAGCGAACGTGATCTTTATACTGACTTGTTATGTAAAACAAGGTAGTGAATGAGAAGGAGTCTCTGTAACGTGATGCATTCGTGGTTCTAAAAACTACTGTATTATTGATTTTAAATACTTTACATACAAGATATTATAGCAATAATTTCTGGTTTTTACATACTTCATAAAATCATTTGTTTTCCATAAAAGTAGTTAAAATCCCGATCTCACATGTATGCTACACTTAAAAGGACAATTGGAATTTAAACCATTTTACATGTGATTTAATGATAATCATTCACGTTATTTCAAATGCAAATGATCGTCTTTCAGCTGATTCTTATCAGTGAATATTTCGTAGATGTTAATATATCTCTTACAGTTCCTGACGTTGCACTTCAGTATGAAGTTTGGTAGCTACAAACAATAAGGGCAAACTAACATTTTATGCTTAAAACCAAAGTATTTGTAGAGTCTTGAGGTATCGTTATCCACTCCTCTGAAAGAACCATTTTAGAGCATCACTCGTGGCCAGAGTCATTTGAAAGAATATGGCACATCTTATAAGATCATCGTATATGTGCTTGATGAGGTTGAAGTTTGGCAAGACAATCTTTTTGATGAAACTCTTCTTCCTTAAGAACAGGTTTAGCATGATGAGGTAGGCATTCTCATGTATTAGGCTGAAGCCGTAACGTAACAAAGGACCATATTGTTCTTGAAAGCTTGAGAAAAGCTAATACATCCTTTACTTTAAAGTGCTGGCCTCCACTTCTGCTGATGGCAGCTCATTCCATTAGTCAACCATCCTGTTAGAAAAATAAAACTCTTTAACTGGAAGTAAGGCTATCTTTGCTAAACTTTAAATATGTGTTCTCTTATCCTATTACCATTAGAATATAACACATATTCTTGCCCACAGTGTACTTCAACAATTGCCATAAGCATGTCCTTATGAAGATAGGGGTGGAATCGGATTTACTCGCACGTAAAAAAAGAATAAAGTACCATATGTGACTCATCCATTGGATGTATTCTTGGCACCTTTTCAAGCAGTGTTGGATTAAGACACCCCCATGACCACAGGACAGTGAATAATATGGGGTCTCCTCATGCTTATGTTTGTCATACAAAACGGCCATTACTTCATGATTAAATATACACCTTAGTCTACATATATATATATTTATAATTAAATTCTATTTTTTTGTGTATGCACATTTTTAATTGTTAATCTTATTTTAACAACATAAATTTTGCTTGAAAAAATTATTTATTTGTAACTATAATAAAATTTAAAATAGCACTCCCAATTTAAAAGAAACATTTTTTTTAAACTCATTTCCTTTCTGATATTCTTCCTGTTTCACCAACATTCTTTACATACAGTATCCTTGCCTAAATTTTTGGGCCCCTTGGGCATCAGCTTTGTCTGCCCTCCCATTATTCTACTACTGATTTTAAATGAGCTGTTTTATGCCTTCCTGTGAGTGGAATGGATCTCATTGACAAACTGACATACAGGCCAATTTTATTAAGTCTGTTTCTAACTGCCAATTTTTGGTTGCTGACATCTAATTGAGTCTCAGAGTTGGTATGCTATTATATGTCATGATTACGACGTGCCATCTGTTTCTAACTCTTCATTTTTGGCTGATAACATCTGATTGAGTGTCAGACTTGGTATGGCTATGATTGCAATGTGCCATCTGTTTCTAACTGTTATTTTTGGTCACTAACATCTAATTGATTCTGTAACACTTTGTTACAATGTGCCATCTGTTTCTAACTGTTATTTTAGGTCACTAACATCTAATTGAGTCTGTTATATGTTGGTTACAATGTGCCATCTCTTTCTAACTGTTATTTTAGGTCACTAACATCTAATTGAGTCTGTTAT